TTAGAGCCTTTTCTAAACACTCTTTGGGTAACTGTTACAAGTGTACTGCAGGGTACCCACTATGCCATAAGTAAAGATAATTTTTGTGTAGTAAGCCAGCATTCACTGTGCTGTCCTTCATCATCCTTTGGAGAAGCGTGGTATCTGCTACACACTTCTTAGGAATTTGGTGCAATTTTTATGCAGTGGCTCACGATGATGGAGAAATATGCCTGAAGTGGGTATGCGCCACAGTTATTAGGGGATCAAAAACAAGTTTTCTAATGGGTTGGAGCATTGGATGACCCACTTGTTACACAATTGACATTGTGTGATGCCTGGCTGTTTTTTGGATGTTATAAAACGCTTTATTACTCATATTACCACGATTCTTTTCCATACATCAAGCCTGATTAAGGCCTCGTTAAAAACAAGTTCCAAGCACCGGCGTGGCTCAGTGGTAGAGTTCTGGGCTCAGTGGTAGAGTTCTGGGGAAACAGGCAGCGAACTCCGGTTCGATTCCCAATGTGTCATTGGTGTTTTTGATTTACTGAGCTTTTTTTTCTTTATATACTGGTTACAGACACCGGCGGCGGCGGACAACTATATATACGGTGCCGCCCGTCACCTGTGTTTTGATCTCATAACAGCTTTTGCTGTAGCCCCGCCACGGTGGTCTAGTGGCTAAGGTACTCGGCTGCTGACTCGCAGGTTGCGGGATCAAATCCTGGCTGTGGCGGCTGCATTTCCGATGGAGGGGGAAATGTTGTAGGCCTGTGTACTCAGATTTGGGTGCACGTTAAAGAACCCCAGGTGGTCAAAATTTCCGGAGCCCTCCACTACGGCGTCTCTCATAATCATATAGTGGTTTTGGGACGTTAAACCCCACAAATCAATTAATCAGCTTTTGCTGTAAAAGTAGTTACGAGACCTAGTATGGCTTTGTGGTATAGTTCTTGATTGCCTTGCAGAATGCTTAAGTTCGATTTCTCTGGGGACCCTGACATTTATTCTTTGCATTTCATCGAGTCAATGCTGCCAATGTCAGGTTTTTTTTACGCTAATACGAGAAAATTGCCCATGGGTGTTCTGGTTGTTTCTGGGTAGATACAAAGATACCTGTGGCACATACCCACCCACGGGTATGCACCACCGTCAGGTGGGAAGTGTTTGACGACGTACATGATGAGGTTGTAACACTATGCATGTAATGACCAGTGGGTCTAGTTCATAAAATCATCCTACTCTTTCATACTATTTTTGGTTCACAACTTAAGGGTGTAATCATGAGAGTACGCAGACGTAGGCGGCCAGACAAACAGACAGGTAGGGCAGGGCAGGCACCAAAAGTGCTTGCAGTACGCAAAGAAATGCTTTGCATTTAATAATGTCACGATCCCATCGCCTACGTTGTCAAACACTTTCCGCCAGACAGTGGCACATACCTACCCGCTCGCATTGTGTGCCACTGGTATGTGGGTATGTGCCACTGGTGATTGACAGTATCTACCCAGGAACGGTGACAACGCATATTGGTCATTTTAATGCATAAGCATTAAGAACAAGCTGACGTTGGCAGCGTTGACCTGACGAATGCAAAGAATAAATGTCACGGTCCCGACAGGAATCGAACCCCAGCATTCTGCGAGGCAATGAAGTATTCTACCACAGCACCATGCCAGGTCTCGGAAATACTTTTCAAATAGACCCTAACGTTCGGGAAATGTCAATTGTGGTTGCAGTTATGGCTATCCAATTTCATGAACATTACATATGTACTCCTATGATACAGCGGTCATGTCTGGTTACTGTCAATTGTAATTAGGTGCCATTCGCTGAAGTTATTATATAGGAGTGTCCAGGGCTACATCCTCGCGAGCACCAACACTTCATAGTATCAGCTTATCACTTCTGGTGTTGCTAATACTTATGTTCCTGTTTACATTGTTGCACAAGTTCAAACAGCTGGTTTTACAGTCAAACCTCTTTAAAATGAGCGGTGCTTCAACGAAATTTCCACTACAAAGAAAAACTCTCGGTTCCCCATCAGGAGTCTATAGGAGTCTATGCATAAATATTCTCGCCACAACGAACACTTTTTCTCTTGCCGTTCTGCTTCAACAAAATTTGAGGATGCAATTTCAGGCTCAGATATTTAATACCGGGCAGTATACACAACGTTGAATTTTTTAATGCATTTTCAAAAAATGAAAATACATCGACAAAGAATAAAAGGCGCGTTGGCACCACCAGAAACTAAAGCCCCTATACCTTCGGAAAAGTACAGCATTCTTTTGATCTACTTTCTCCTCTCGCCAGCTCGAAAGCAATCTGCAAGCTCGTGGCGCGTTACAGGGGGTGCCACTGTTGCAAGCGAAAAAAAAAAAAGTAACGTGCTGGAGAAGAGGTGGCAAGAGGGAAAGCAGATGGCGGTACTTGAAAAGTACAGCGTTCATTTTATCTGTGCCGCTTCCTCCTCGCACTGGCTCGAAAGCAAACTGCAACCTCGTGGTGCGTTACAGGGGGGGCCACTGTCACAAGTGAAAAAAAAAAAAAAAAGCAACACGCCGGAGAGCAGACAGCGAGGGGGAGTGTAGATGGCGGTACTTTTACAAAGTAAAGGGGCTTTACTAAAAACCGCCGCTGTTTACTGGACATGGGACCGCCATTGCTCGATAGCGATGGCAATAAGATTGCCCTGCGTTTGCTGCTGGCTTGCTTTTGAGCCGCAGACTATCCGAATCTGAAGCTCAGTCACTCAGTTCATAGTTCTCCACACACAGAAGCTAGGTGCAATCGCAGAATGATGCCTTAATTTGCCTTTTCTGATGTCAATGCTTTTGGCACGTTTCACGTGTGGCCAGTGTGGTGACTGGTCAGAGCGGCTGTTCATTTGTGTTATCTACAAAATCAGCCAGCTGCGACTAGTGGATGAGAAGAATAGCATAGAATAAGGCATAAGTCCCCGCTCCACGATACCACGCCTCCATCTTGGCATTGTCGGATACACTTTGACAGCTTACAGCTGCTGAGGATAGCGTTTCAATTCAACTGTTAGGTTTTTTCACAAAAACTGTTGTGTTCATCAATTTAGCTGGATTTTCACTATGGAGTCGCTATGCACGAGTGAAAATCTCGTCATGATTCTGCTGGGAAAAAAATGAAGCAGTTCACACTTTTTCAATTTTAGGAATAAAATTTCTTTTGTTCTAGCTCAGGTTAGCTATATTTTTTTAGACTTCACTCAACAAAATTTTTTCCGTGCCCCGTCAGTTTCGTTTTAGCGTGATTCGACTGTATAAACATTGGTGACTGTTCAACATATGTTTCTGCATGCAACATTTGTACATATATCGAGCGTCATTTCATATTGTATTGCTCAGTAAAAAAGTCACAACATGGTCACTTTCCCTCTGCATGCTTCGCATAACCTCGATTCCCAAGGTATGTGGGATCTGCAGAATTTCTTATCTTCCAGTCCCCCAATCTTCTGCTCCCCTCAAATATGCTGCACCATGCTGTCTTATACGAGTTGCAAAAATGAAAATTTTTTTTTTAATCTGAAACCACTATCTCTCTCTTGGTGATGGTCTCTCTCTGTGGTGATGGTCATAGCAGCTGAGTGCACGGGCAGTCCGCGTGCTCCTTATCTTGCGGGCAATCAATGGCAGCTACAAGAGCCAGGCAAGCCATGATAATGTGTAGCTGCATGTGCACTGCCTTCCTGCATGTCTTGTGTAGGCAGTTGCATTATTTGCATAGTCTTAGCATTAGAGATTCATTAATGCAAGGGGCAATTCAGGCCAACATTTTTGGACAGGGTGGTTGCACATAAAAATGTCTGAAATAACCGATTGGTGGTTTCTAGATTTTGTATTCGTTAGAGTCTTTTCCTATTTAGATACACTCGTAGAACTTTGCTGGAATCAGCTGTGCAGTTCAAATGATATGTCAATTGGATGAAGGACTTCATTGCTTATTTACTATTGTATCTTTTTTCTAGATATGCATTTTCACTCAGACATTCACTCATGTTCACACATTTATTTGTTCATGCTTATTGGGGGCACTCATGCACTTGCAAGCTCGCATTCACTTACACACAGAGGTAGTCAGTGAATCGTGCATTTGCACTTACATTTAAACTTCACATTTATGAAGTTGGTAAATTGGCAATCTCAAGATCAAAGCTTCATCAAGTTGAAATCTGACTGTTTAAATATAGCTAGGTGCTTTTGCCAAACGCTTCTAAGGGCAGGAAGAATCTTTTAATGATACAACAGTGCAATTTCAATAATGTGAGAAAAAAATTCTTGATTCCTGAGATTTGGAAATTGTGAGTTGACGCTGCGCTGTCGAAGAAGCGCTTTTCACAACGGCCGAACATTGCCCATAAAACTGAAAGAAATGGAGGTCCAGCGCACTGTAGCAATATTGGGTAAGCATTTGAAAAAACCACATACAAATCATGTGACCACTGGCCTAGGCAAAAGTTTCAATTTTATCACCTTGGTCATCCTTTAGGAGAGCACTCAAGTTTCATTCATTTGAAATCATAAACAACATGGTTCATTATATTGAGATTTCATGTTGTGTTCTTTGGAAATTAAGTAGTCAAATTATGAAATACTTTGTCATGTTGAGAATTTTATTATAGTAAAGTTTGTTATATTGTTGTTTAACTGTACTTCCATTGACAGCCAGCTGTGACTAAGTACACATATCCATACTTAGTCACATTCATGCTTATATATTCATACATTATCCACTCATACTTGGTAATGTATATATGTCAGCTCACACATAAAGTCTTACATTTTAACATGTGCCCAGTCACTCCCTGGCATTGTTATCCACATTCATTTTTTACATTCATGTTCTTTAATGCCAGCAGCCACTTGCTCATGGTTGCACCTGAGAAATGAGTACAAGTGAGTCATCACCGAATATGTCAGCCTGTGCTGTGGGGCATAATCAGTTGTCACATAGTGTTAATGGTATTGTGCTTATTTCTGTGGCAGGTGAATCGGTACGGCTGCTCGCCTGGATAGCAAAAAACAGTGCGTCACCTGAAGCAAAGGCAGTACTGTGCCGTCTGGGTGCATTGCCTCACTGGGTGTCTATGCTTTCCTCTGAGCACAGTCTCATGCAGGCGGAAGGGCTTTTGGCTCTCACACTTTCCCTCACGCCACCACCATCCAGTGAGTACTCCCACATTACATGTTAGCCTGCTTATTCATCTCGCTTGCTGACCTTTGACAGTGATTGTTCTGTGCGAAACGCAACATGAGTTGTTGCATACCAGTGCCGCCTTTGAATACCTTCATGATTAGGAGCAAGCAGGCTTCACCTGCTCCTGCAATGTTTCACCATGATGTCAGAGATTAGCTACCACTTTTTATATAAAGTTTGGATATGCAAAACAAACATTTGAAAACTACTGAAATGATTTCAAAAACACTGTATGGTATGAGACTGTGATTGTGTGAACGTCATCTGCCTCAGATGCAGGAGTGTCCGTTTATGACTGTTCACCATGTACACCTTCCTGCAAGGTAAGTGCGAGCTACATGAGCTGGCACTGCTTGATAGCCATTTGAGAGCAATGACTTGCAGCCAGTTGGTGGCGATGACTGGCAACCATTACCAGTTTCCAGCAATGGCTGCCATTTTAACACTGGCTGCAGCAGTAGCACAATGTTACCGCCAACTTCCGTACAAGATGTGTCAATATGTTGAACTTTTATAAGAATGCAAGTCATCGCTAGTGCAGATAAATTACTCAAGCAACTACACTTTCCATAGCAGTAAAGTCAAATATGTAATAATAAGTAGGCACCTGAAATATCCTTTTTGTGCTAGAAATCAAACAGCAGGTGGGCTATCACTCGGCCATTTGTGAAATTTTTGGCCCACTGTATATAAATGCATTTTAATTTGTGTTGTAAGTAATTTTAAAACCATCCCAAGTTATTTGATGATTGATGGTGGCAACAATGATGTGATTCGAACCAATCACGTCATTGGGGTTAAAGACTGGTATCATTCATTCGTTCAATCACAAAACTTTATTTGTGTCCTGAATCCCGGTCTTTTCAGACTGAGGCAGGCCGCAAGCCGGAATTTTCTGTGCATGCACAAGTGCTATTCGTTGCACATACAGATGGCATCAGGTGTGCAACCATATCTGCTTGGAATATCTACTACTAGAGAGGCTAGAATATACAGTCGAGCATCTGATTTTTAGGATTTCATAGTTTCTAGAAACCACAAATGCATCTAAAAGATTGAACAGTCTAAAACAACAAATTTTTTGAACTCAGTCAACTAGTCAGATCACCTTGTATGAAATAGCTGTGAGGGCTTGCCAGTACGTTTATCAGGCATTGGAATTCACACAGGCCCTTGTGAATACGTTTAACTCCCAAGAACACCACTTAACTTTGTGCTGATTTTCAATTGCAAGTTAATGTCTTGTGGCAAGTTTTGCTGCTACGAGCAAAGTACCAAAAAAATTACGGCTCTCTTGCGCGTTGGCCTCATGGCACATAATTTTGGTACAAAGAAGCATGTCGGTGATGCTGAGCGCAAAGATTGTGGCAATAGAGTAGATGACTCGCTGGCTTTCCCTAGTGTGTGTGCATTTTGGCAATGACATGCTATTCGACGAAACTCTCTTCTGTTTCATTGAAATGCAGCATTTGAGGCGGCATGGAGCCAATTCATCTTAGTTGCGTGCAGCACGTCACCTATAACCTCACGCTGTTACTGCTGGGATGCTTGCTGTATGCATGGAGTAAAACGTGATTAAATCAAACTCTGTTATTTCTAAATCCCGCTTAATTTGAAGGATTTCTGTGCTCTCCTATTTTGCAATGTAAGTTTAAGTGGATAATTTGAAGTGGTGGTCAGCACCAATCTGATGAATTCGCAAACTTGAGTGTTACCTATTTGCTGATTCGCGATTCCTACTTTGTGGCAAATCCGTGGAAACCACGGCCCATGGGAGCAACAAGGCAATGCAGTAAAGCGATACTAATAAGGGCTTTGCCGCGGTGGTCTAGTGGCTAAGGTACTCAGCTGCTGACCCGCAGGTCGCAGGATTGAATCCGGGCGGCGGCGGCTGCATTTTCCATGGAGGCGAAAATGCTGAAGGCTTGTGTGCTCAATATTGGTCGCACGTTAAAAGAACCCCAGGTGATGTAAAATTCCGGAGTCCTCCACTACAGCGACTCTCATAATTATATGGTGGTTTTGAGACGTTAAATCCCACATAATAATCAGATACTAATAAGGGACAGGTGATGCACCCGAGTATCACAATTATCAGATGGGGGGGGGGGGGGGGAGAAAGAGGGGCCTTGTGGTCTGCTGAATTGTGTGCCTGCATAAAAAAAGATGTGGTTCACTGCAATACAGCAGTGACATGCTGGCAACATGTTGAATATTTCTGGCAATTCGAATAGTACATATATCATATAAAAGAAAAAATTATTTATGTCCGAACTAGCCTGCACAACATTTTTTAATTGAAAGAATGTGTAAATGTTATTCTTCTTTGTTTAAAGGAAGTGGAAAGAACTTTGAATTGTAGCAGGATTTGACTTTCAGTAGAATGCAAGTGATAACCTGTAAAATAGTATGTTACGTGTTCATATTGTTACGGAAGAGAGACGCCGTATCGACGAGGCTGTGGATAAAATATATTTCAAACCAGCAGCAGCAGCGGCATGACCGGTAAACCAGACACCGAGCGGAGACCACTCTTAGTCATCTTCATCAGGCATACATGCGCATCGTCCCACAAAATGTTGACATGCATGTAGCATAATCCCCGGTGGCAGAAGCGCTGTCTCTGCGCATCTAGATGTCAACGTCAGCGGGAGAGTGGTAAGGCTGCAAGCGTGCCACATGTACAATATCGGTGGTCTGTGGGGAAGTTAAAGGCGATGAGGCAGCAGGGGCAATTTCGTATATCACAGGAGTAACCTCGCGAAGGACTTGATATGGACCTGTGTAGCGAGAACGAAGTTTTTCCGACAAGCCGGCTTGACGGGTCGGGGACCACAGCAGCACCAATTAACCGAGTAAGAATTGCACGTCACGATGCTGTTGATCGTACAAACGACGCTGGTTCTCTTGAGAGGCCAGAAAGCGAGTGCAGGCAATTTCGCGTGCGTGAGCAGCCCTAGTGATAGCGTCAAGGGCATATTCGCTGGTCGGTGTCGTGGCAGACAGAATGACTGTATCTAGGGGTAATGTATGTTCTCTGTCGAACAACAGAAAAAATGGAGAGTAAGCGGCAGTGTCATGGCGATAAGAATTGTATGCAAATGTGACGTACGGCAACACGAGATTCCAGTCGCTGTGGTTGGAGGAGGAAGTCGGCGACATCTGTGGCGTAGCTTGTTGGAAGAGCTCGTGTGATGGCATAGCACGTGGCGTAGCCGGGGGCCACGGCTATCCACTTGTTACCCGAGGAAGACAAGGGGAAAGGGCCAAGTAGGTCCAAGCCAACGCAGAAGAACGGTTCTGACGGAATGTCAAGTGGTTGAAGGCATCCGGCGGGAAGTGTGGATGGTGTTTTGCGGCGCTGGCATTTCTCACAAGCTGCAACGTATCTTCTGACTGAGCGCGCAAGCCCTGGCCAAAAGAAGCCTCGGCGTATTCGGTTGTAAGTGCGTGACACACCAAGGTGACCAGCAGTCGGAAGGTCATGAAGTTCATGTAGAACTTCCGAGCGAAGGTGTTTCGGAATGACAAGCAGCAGGGCCGGTCCATTCGGCTCAAAACTTTGGCAGTATAATACACCATTGTGGAGCACGAATAAGCGATGGGACTGATTGGAAGATGGTGATTCGAGGCGCTCAATGATAGCACACAAGGACGTATCATGGTGCTGCTCGTCACCGATGCATGTCATTTGCGAAAGGAAAAAGACGCAAGGCACGGTGTCGGTGTCAGGAATAGTGCTAGACTCAGCAGCCGGGTAGCGGGACAGGCAGCCTGCGTCCTGATGTAGGCATCCGGATTTGTACGTCACCGTGTAGGTATACTCTTGCAGTCGCAGAGCCCAGCGCCCGAGCCGGCCAGTAGGATCCTTCAGTGACGAAAGCCAACATAGTGCATGGTGGTTCGTTATTACAGAGAAATTTGTGCCATATAAATATGGGTGGAACTTTGTGACTGCCCAAACAAGAGCAAGACATTCACGCTCTGTTATTGAATAGTTGCGCTCGGCAGCTGTTAGTAGGCAGCTAGCGTAGGCGATAACTCGGTCGTGTCTCTACTGGCGTTGGGCTAGGACGGCTCCAATCCCATGACCACTCGCATCGGTTCGTACTTCTGTCGGAGCGGACGGGTCAAAGTGGGCCAATATAAGTGAAGTCTTGAGAAGGGTGATGAGGTGAGAAAAAGCGGCAGCTTGGGCAGAAGCCTACGTAAAAGTCGCGTCTTTCTTTAGAAGGTCGAAGAGTGCTCGAGCGATCGTTGCGAAATCTTTCACGAACCTTCTAAAATAGGAACAATGTCCCACAAAGCTCCGGACGCCCTTGATAGACTGGGGTACAGGAAAGCTCGTTACGGCATGAATTTTCTCCGGGTCAGGCTGCACACCTGATGCGTCCACAAGGTGGCCCAACACCGTAATCTTCTGACGGCCGAAGTGACATTTTGACGAGTTTAGGCCAGCAGTGAGGAAGATGTCGAGAACCGTTGACAAACGCTGGAGGTGTGTCTCAAATGTAGGCGAATATACAAGGACATCATCCAGGTAACACAGGCATGTTGACCACTTGAACCCTTGTAATAGCAAGTCCATCATACGCACAAACGTGGCTGGGGTGTTGCATAGCCCAAACGGCATCACCTTGAATTGGTATAGGCCGTCGGGAGTTACAAACGCAGTCTTTTCTTGGTCTTTCTCATCCACCACAATCTGCCAATAGCCAGAACGTAGGTCGATTGAAGAAAAGTATCGCGCGCCAGGAAGACAGTCGAGGGCATCATCAATTTGGGGCAAAGGATAAACGTCTTTTTTTCGTGATTCAATTAAGATGGCGGTAATAGACGCAGAAGCACCACGTGTCATCTTTCTTTCTAACGAGCACAACAGGAGATGCCCAAGGGCTCGAGGAGGGTTCAATAATTCCTTTGGCTAGCATCTTGTTACCTTCTTTAATTACCTTACGCTCTGTGGGAGACACCCGGTATGGTCGGCGGTGAATGGGAGGAGAATCACCAGTATTAATGTGGTGCTTCACGAGGGAATTCTGACCGAGTGGACTGCTATCAATGTCAAATATGTCGTGGTAGGAAGCCAGAAGGCGGAATAGGGCGTCGGATTGCTCAGGTTTGAGTTTCGGGTCGATCATAGGGCACAAGGCCGCATCGAGGGATGTGGCATCTTGCGGGTGACATGGAAGATCGGAGCATGCGTCTGCCGCAAAAGCGGTGACATGGCCATCTACTAAGGGTCGAAGCGTGGCGACTAAAATTCGGTGCAGTAGTACCTGCTGCGTGAAACCAAAATCGATAATGGACAGACATGTTTGGTTAGAGGCCATGGTAACGACGGAGTGTGGCACAGTGATGTCGCGTGCCAGGAGAACATCTGGAATAGGTGGGTGTGACGACATAATCACCGTCAACAACAAGTGAACTTGTTGTCAATTCAATGAATTTGAGGACTTTTGGTGGTATCAGACTGAAGTATGTGGTACAGAGGCTTTTCGGCAGCTCGGGGCGAGAATCTAGAAGAAGAGGAAGTTCTAAACAGAGAGTGCCGGCGGAACAGTCAATCAGGGCAGAATGTGTCGATAAGAAGTCCATCCCGAAGATGAGGTTATGAGGGCAATTGTCGAGCACGGTAAATAAAACAGGAACATGGCGGCCAGCAAGGCTAATACGAGCGGTACACATTCCAGTGACGGCCACAGTTTCACCATCGACGACACAGACGGCTTGTGTTGCCGCAGGCGTGAGTACTTTTTTTGAGGCGGTGACAGAGACGAGCACTCATTATAGACACCTGAGCTCCAGTGTCAACTAAAGCCATCAAAGAAAGACCGTTCACATACACTTCCAGCAAGTTCTTATTAGTAGGTAGTGTCAACAGAGGATTTGGGTCAGTCACACTTCATGCAGCACTACCTCCAGGAGCTGTATAATCCAGTTTTCTATCCGCGAAGATCCATAGTTAGTCGGACGGAGAACGGCGGCGTTGCGATGACGGTGAACGAGCGGTAGAGGGGCTGTTAGGTGCGTAAGAAGCAGGATACTCACGGATGGGCGAATACCGACGGGGGTCTGCGTATGGCCGAGGAGAAGAAGAAAATTGGCTCCAACGGGGGGGGGGGGGGGGGTCCAAGGTCCAAGGCCTGCTGCAGTAGCGGGAGACATGGCCAACTCGGTGACAGCGGAAGCAGATTGGCTTGTCCTCTGCTGTTCTCCATTCCGTCGGATTGCGGGATTTGGGCAGAGAGTATGGGTCGTGGCGTGGTGCATTTATTGGCATTGGTCTGTAGTCCGGTCGAGAGACAGAGCAGGCAACAGGAAAACCAAGGTTAGCAATTTCTTGCCGCACGACTGCCTGAATAACTGACACCACCGGAGGTGCTTGCACGGTGCCCTGGTCAAGTGGAAGTGCATGAAACGGCGCCGGACAGGCCGCTTCAAGCTCGCGCTGAACGATGCATGTGACATTCTCGTGCAAGGGTGGTGCGGCACCGAGATCGGTACAGGTTGACTTGACAGCCGTGTTAGGGAGCCGTGAAAATTGAGGCTGAATGAACTCGGCGGTTTTTGAGCCATTTCGAAGCGGCGGCATTCCTTAGTTATGATGTCGACGATCGTGACGTTGTTGTACACGAGCAAGTTGAAAGCGTCGTCCGCGATGCCCTTGAGTATGTGGCCCACCTTGTCGCTCTCGGTCATTTGCTCATCTACTCTGTGGCACAACGCGAGCAGGTCCTGTAGGTACAAGACATACGACTCGGTTAATGACTGTACTCGGGTGAGGAGTTCTTTTCATGTGGCTGTTTGTCGACCGGACGGGTTCCCAAATATGTCGCATAGTCGCTCCTTGAAGATGTCCCAGCTGGTGAGCTCGGCCTCATGAGCGTCGAACCATACACACGGGGTGCCATGCAAGTAAAAGATTACGTTGGCGAGCATCATGGTAGCGTCCCATCGGTGGGACAGGCTAACCCGCTCGTACATGCGGAGCCAGTAATCGACGTCAAAGCCAGGCTGGCGGAGAACGTACCGAGATCACGGGGGTGGGACATCGCAAGGTACATAGTAGCTGGCGCTCCAGCTGATGGCGGTGATGGGTTGTTATCATTAGAAGCCATGGCCGGAGGCGGGACGGTGCAGCCACTGCAAAGCTTCGTGGTGAGGACGAGGAACGTTACACCTCCACCAAATATGTTACAGAAGCGAGACGCCGTATCAACGAGGCTGCGGATGAAATATATTTCAAACCAGCAGCAGCAGCGGCGTGACTGGTAGACCAGACACCGAGCGGAGACCACTCTTTTGTCCTCTTCATCAGGCACACACACACATCGTCCCACAAAATGTCAACATGCATGTAGAAATATTTACTATACTTAGAACATATAAGCTGACATTACAAGCTTTTAAACTTAGAAAAAGGAAAGATGATTGCGAAGGCAATATATTAATTTAGCCTTGAAGTAGGGCTTTGCAGCAGTGCAAATTTTTTTTTGAAAAATGTATTGACGATACATCATTACTCCACAGCAGTTAAACTGCTTTTGCAGGTAGGGGTTACATGCGGACTAATATAGACCTATTCATTTATTTCAAATACTTCAACCTAATTATTAATTTAAATTCTTATCAAAGCAAGGTCAAATATTTGAAATGCTCGAATATTCACACAAGCGGAGCCACTAAGTTTTTATACAGCAAGGTTATCCGCTTTAGTGGCTTAAAATTACTATGGTGTGGTGCTGCTATGCATACGGCCATGAGATCAAGTCATGTGATGGTGGCTACATTTTGATGGAAATAGACTGCAAATATTCCCACTTCCTCTGCATAAGATGCCCATTAAAGAAAGGAATTCCAGGCAGTCAAATCTGATCTGGAATCTCCTATTATGGTGTGCCCCTTAATCCAGTTGTAGTTTTGGCATGTAAAACTTCAGAATATTTTGTGTAGCAGAATAATTTTTCTTTAAAGCCATGGGATATGCCATATTCTGAATCTAATTTATAATGAGTTTTGTATTTTATTCAGTTTTTTTTTTTTTTAACGAGGGTCATGGTTTTTTGTTTGCTTCCTTTGTCACAGGTACTACTCTTGAAGAGCTGAAGAAGACTAATCTTCTTTCTCTGCTGCGGTCGTTGCTCGAATCACCAGAAGTATCGCCTGAAGCTCTGCAGAACGCAGTTGCTTTCACTACTGCGCTAGCCAGCCTTGGTGAGTTCTTAATGCTCTTCTTGCTGGCAACGTCATTTGCGAATGAGGAGAATACCCTGTACTGAATTAGCAGAGACAATTGGGTGAATTCGCACACATTAATATTTGAAGAAAGTGTAAAAAAACCACAACATTAAGAAGTAAAGGGGATAGGAATTGGGAGTTGCTAGTAAAATACTGTCCTCTTCATTGCTCTATATTGTGGTTTTTTGGTGCTTTCTTCAGATACAAAGAATGGCCTATCTTGACCTTCAAGGGGTACTGACACGAAATTTTTCACTTATCGGTTTGTTGCATCAAATGATGAGTCCCGAGAGCGCAAGAAACGTACCGGTAACCATGGGTGCGCCCTGAAAATTAATTAGAGCATTCTTTTGAATGCTAGTTTCAATTCCCACTATACCCTAATGTAACGACATGGTATGAGCAACACCACCAGATGGTAGTATGTGCAAGCACTATTTTTCATGATGTATTTTCGTCCCCGTGTCGCTTCTCCGGTCATCTGCTGCACGCTGTACGTGTGGCAACTATAGTGGCAGGGGGGCACATCGTCGACAATTTGAAGTCAGTCAGCAACTGCATGTTGTGCGTGTACGTGGTCCAAAGTGAAGTGGAGCGAACAGAGTAAACTACACTTGGTCGGCGTCCACTCTCCGCCTCGGCCATGGTACACAGAGTCAACCCACTTTTTTCTCAGCGCCGCATCAGACTCGAATCAGTTGAACTTGCACATATTAGGGGTTTTTAGTCGTATACTTCTTTACACTAACGTGTTACCGGATACTGGTTTGCATTCACCGCTACCGGAACCCGTGTTTTTGAACGTGTTGGCTCCCCAAATGTAAATGTTCACGTACGTACGTAAACGATTACCTTTACATTTTCGCAAACCATAACTGATGATGCTAACTGCATTTAAACTACATTTAACTTAGAGAGGATTGAATCACGGATGTGGCAAGATCACGAGACATTTTTTCTTTCATGTATGGTATCCTCTTATGCACAAAAAAAGTGGAGAAAAAAATACAAGGTTACTGCAAGGATGGTGTCGGCATCTTGTGACACTTCGTGCAACCACAATCATGAACACATTGGCTTACGCTTATAGTGTTTTTGGTGAAATTTATTAAAAAGGTAATTTATTCGTAATAACGCCGCTGCATGGTTTTTACACTAGACATACATTGCATGATGCTTCTGCAATAACAATTTTGTGATTGCCTTGTTTATTTCAATTTTGCTAGATGGCGCCACATATCCAGTTCGTCAGGGGCTCACATGCATACGCTTTCGATGTTCTAGGCCAGCATGGCTAAAGCCCTTCTATTGCGTCTACTGTTGCATGGAGGGGCTTCAAGCATGATCACTTCTAATTTTGGTATTATTGGTAATCTGGCTGAAACAACGTCATCGCTGCTGGAGCTCGGACTGTGGCTTATTTTAACTCTACGGCTGGAGTCTCCGCAATGCTGATAATGCGAGTTCCTACGAACGAAGTTGGATTTGCGACATCGGGCCTCAAACGCAAAGCCCATCCGACAGGTAAATTACATTACGTAAAGGTTTACGTTCCGCAAAAATACGCACATGCGCAGATGCTATCCGGTAAGACGGTAACGTAAAAAAGTACTACATATTTGCTAAAAGCCCCTATTGTCCCCCGTTTCACTGGTGCAAGACCATCCACAGGGCAAAACATTGGTGCAATGACACCCTATTCGAAATCAAACGATTCATTCGCCCTCTGAAAAGCCTAGTCTTGAATTCGCATGCACGTACACTATTCCAGATTCCACTAGCTCGCTTCACAGGTACGCTGGATGACAGTTACCCAACGACCAAACGGCACGAGCAGGCAATCGAGAGAGCGACGTTGCAAGCTGCAATTTTTTTGTGTTTTGGTGCTTGATGTCATCACAACTTGCGAGACTGCTGCGTGAAGTCACCAGGATTAGTACTGTAGCCTGATGTCAAGTTAGTGTCGATCGCGGTAGGTGCGTTGCTAGAAACGTGACTCTAAAATCAAAATGAAATATCAGGGTTTACTGAGCATCATACTTGCTCAGAGTCGTCTCTGTAAATTGGAGAAGTGTATGGCAGAGTAAACTCTCCTCCGAAAAAAAGGTGTCAGTACCCCTGTAAAATCTTTGGATAGAAGTGTGCCGATTTTCTAAATTTTGAATATTTTTCTAATAGTCTTTGCTATTTGATTCTATTCACATTGAAATTTTACTATTGGAACTTTCCAAAGAAAAATACAGTAAATGTCCAATTAGAAGTGACCCCTTCATATCACCGCACCCTCATGCCACAGCAAAGCGGCCTTTCAGGCTCTGCTACGGTCACAAATGTAGTTTTACTAAAAAAAATGCTGGTTCGAACATAGAGATGATAGATGTGGCAGAGGTGGAAGCTAAAGTAGTTTTGCAAGCATAAAATAAACTCTCCAGCGAATTTTTGGTCCAAAACTTCAAATAATAAATTAAAAACTAAAAACTTACCCAACGTTTTGGGACAGATTCGGTCTCTTCTTCAGCGGTGATTGTCTGACCGACTCCAAAACTAGCGACTTTTCATAACGGTGTCTCCCTCTTCGTTGTTTTTGATCCTCCGTTCTTGTTGCTGCGGTGTTTTCTCTACTGGTCCCGCATACCGTGCACATAGACACTGAGCAACGTCCCATTTGAGCGGTTAATGTTTCCAGGTGTTGTTTAGATATGCCAAGACTCTGAGAACGGTCATTTTATGTCGCTGCCGTTAGTGTCAATGACCTGGGCGGCATCGAAGTTGATGTGATGGTCCATCTTTTCGCGGTGTTCTGCGAGAGCATTTCGTGCTGTGTTGAAACTACTTATGTTATTTCGATGTTGCTGTATTTTTTATGAAATTTTTGTTTCACCCATGTAAGTGACATGACAAATGGAACCTTGTGGACTAGCCCAGAGAATCTTTCTTTTGGCAGCCAGTGTTTTGGTCGCGAAAAAAGTTGACTTGTTAAAGTGGGCTTGTGCGCCACCTGGACGTACTCTTTCCCCAACACCCTGGCCAGTTGAATTAATGGAACCAGAATGAATGGAACCATGACGTGGTAGGAATGTTAGGGTTAGGCTTCATTGTTAGTGCCACCCTTTGCAGAAGAGGGCGATGGGGGAGGGTTCAGCCATCACAAGACCGGCATACTTGGCAAATAACTCTTCATGTACCCGTTGTCCAAGAGATCAGTAGTGATCGCTTCTTCTTCATCTTTTCTTTATTTTTTGTTGGAGCTGCAGATGTCCCCTGTGTGATTCAAGAGCATCCTGACCACCGATGCCCTGTGGGGAGTTAGTGTGTGGGCAGTTAGTGTGTGGGCAGTTAGTGTTTGGAACTGAACTGTAGGTATTCGGTTTGCATAGGTTTTCGGTACACCAAGAAGCTGGTATGTCCTTCCAGCCCGCTTTTTCCCATCTCACTAGCACATCCAGGAAACTGAAAAGGTTTTTCCATGGTAAATTGAATTTCCGGCTCGATCAAATTTAGGTGTGCCAGGAAAATGATGGTAGACTTATTCATCACACGAGACGTTTTTGGTGGCTCTGTGAATGTGTGCATGTTTTTCTATGTGCTCCATCTTCATGTTTGCCGCCGTGGCGGAAACTGCATATTTCATCATGGTTCCACTTGCTTGTTCGTTGAATTCACCTCCAAAAGAGAAATATGTTGCATTGAGGCAGAACTCCATCAGCCGGCACAGTGCATCTGTATTGAGGTTCGTCCTTTCGCTGAGGTTCTCGTCCCTCTCCAGGGCAGTATGGGCTACCAAGACCACGAGGGTTACGGGCACACTTGTGAACACAGAAACGACATCGAATGACATGTGGTTTTCCTCATTGTTGTCACCTCCGACATACAATGAACAAAATGGGTGGCGTTTCTCATGTGTGGCTGTCTTCCCCCTAATGGTGATGAGGTCCTATGTCTTTTGCAGATGTTTGGACAGCTTGCAAAGTGGGGATGTTCTAAAGTCAACTATCAGGGGCAGCGGTATCTTCGATTTGTGGATCTTTGGAAGGCCATAGAATCACGGCGCCACCCATTTTGTTCAGCAGATGTCCGAAGTGACAATTCGGAGTGATGAGAGCCTCATGTTGTTCAATGTTGTTTCTCTTTTCACGAGTGTGCCCATACCCCTCGCAGTCTCGGTGGACCATACTGCCCTGTAGAGGGATTAGAGGGATGAGAACCTCGGTGAAAGGACGAACCTCCGCACGGACGAACTGTGCCGACTGATGGAGTTCGGCCTCAATGCAACATATTTTTCATTCAGAAGTGGATTCCACTAACAAGCAAGGGGAACCGTGATGAAATTCTCAATTCCTACTACAGTGGCAAACTTGACGATGAAGCACATCGAAAAACATAAATACGTTCGCTGAGCCACCAAGAACATCTTTTGCGGGATCAAGGAGTTTGACATAGACAGTTTCCTGGTACACCTAAATTCGATCAGGCTGGCGATTCAATTTACCGTGGAACGTGAGATGAGAAAAAGCGGGGCTGGAAGGATGTGATAGTGAGATGGAAAAAAGCAGAGCTAGAAGTATGTTTGGGCTTCTCAGTGTACTAAAAACCTATGCACACCGGATATCTACAGTTCAGTTCCGAACACTAATTACCCACAAGGCATTGGTGGTCAGGATGCTCTTGAATCGCGCAGAAGCGATCTGCAGCTCTAAAAATAGGCAAAAAAAAAAAGAAGTGATTAATACTGACCTCTTGGATAGTGGGCTCACCAAGAGCTTTATCTGTCGAGTATGCCGGTGATGTGAAAGATTCAAAGACTCCCCTCACTTTCTCTCTTTTGTAAAGGGTGGCACTAACAATGAAGCCTCCCCCAATCATTACTACTGTTTCACGGTTCTATACAATCCAGGAAGCGGCAAGCAACTGGCCAGAGTGTTGGGGAAAAAGGGTACCCAGGTGAGAAACCTGCTTCAACAGTTGGCCAATCCTTGTCGCGAACACAACACCGATTGCCAAAAGAGAGATTCTCCGGGCTAGTCTACGAGGTTTCGTGCATTAATTGTCCCGCCATTTACACTGGTAAGATGAAAAACTTTCCGAAAAAGGGTACAGCAACACTGAAATGACGTGCGTAGCTTCAACTCTGCATGAAACGCTCTCACAGAACACAGTGACAAAATGGATCATCATCGACACAGAAGGTAGGCACCAGAAAAAAGCAGTTCTTAAAGTCTTGGCGTATCCAAACAATACCTGGAAACACCAACTGCTCGAATGGGATGTTGCCAAGCATATATATGCGCGGTCTGTGGAACCAATAGGGAAAACACTGCATTAACAAGGACGGGCAGAAGGACGATGAAGAGAGGGACACCGCTAAGAAAGGTCGCTAGCTTCGGAGCCAGCCAGACAGTCACCTCTGAGAAAGGAACCAAATGAGTCCCGAAACATTGGGCCAGCTTTTAATTTTAAGGGAGTTTATTGTACTCACACTATGTTTTACCCAGTCAGACAGATCTTTGTAAAATATGTTCACCTTTGAATTAATTTAGTTTTAGACCTATAATTTAGGCAGAAAGTCCAAAAAATTGGATGCCAAAGATTTCTAGCATCCAAAATTCCAGATGCTTTTTCTATATTTATGTCTACCAGGCAGATTTAGAACTCCGGATTCGAAAGGAGCACACCCTTGTCGACCACATCAGTTGAACTTCCAGAAAAGTTGAAAGAGGAGGGGAGAGATTGAGGATATAGCATATATGCCATAACATCTAAAGTGCTGTTTTCAACGCTTTGGTTACCTCAAATCATATACATAAATACACCTCAGCCTCTGTATTGCCTCATTCTTAATTGGACTACAATGAAACACCACCCCACCAATGCTTCTTCAACCTAGCAAAAAAAAAAAATCTCATGTTGCTGTCTAGTGAGAATATACTTAGGAATTCTTTCCAACTTTTTTCTGTAATTTTGCTTCAAAGTATTTGAAAAATATTCTAGAAATATTAAAAAGAAATATTCTATTTGATTCACACTCACACTTCAATATTCAAATTCACTTCACACCCAAAATTTGGCTATTTACACAGCTCTACTTTTGGAGCAAAATGCTGTGGTGCCTCACTAATCAGCACAGTACCAGCCCTTTCGATGTGCCCACTGATCTGGCAATGTAAGGTAATACCTTACTTAATAGTAGCATGCTAAATTTGATGAATTTCATTTACATATTGAGCTTGTTAGTTCAAGATGAACAGGGAAGTTGAATTGTTCGTACATACTTTCTTATGTTCAAGGAAACAGGAATGTTAATCTGCTAGCTATTTTGTGCAGACTCTTTCAGGCCCCTTCTACAGGCTGAAGGCTATGCAGCAATCCTCACTGACCTAAAGGACCACAGTAACCATCTGCTGTCAAAATCTGCAGCACAGGCCCTGCAAATCCTCGAAAAAAAGGCATGAAGCGGCAGGCTTGAGCAGCATTTGGGGCATTACTGTGGCTGCATTGGCAAAAACCATTTCGTTGGCATTTCTGTGTGCAGCATACATAATTAATGTTCAGGCCTTTGCATGCACCTTTGGCAAAGATAGGTGGTATGCAGGACAAACGTGTTTTTTTCTCTATTGAAGATGAGTCATTTTGTGAAAACTTTGGAGTGGCAACTCTACTTTCTTCATGGCATGACCGTTGCTTGAGAAATATTTAAATGAAATGTTGTTAAGATCATTCTTATAAATATGCAGACTATTCTTGCTCGAGGGAAAAATACTATCGTAAAATATTGAGCATGTACTCTCTCCAATTTTTTCTTTAATTTCAAATTTCTGCGTCTATCCAGGAAAGTCCTACCCCTCCCTTTCTGCATCCTGATCATGCATGATTTCCAGGCAACATTTGCCTGCATGAATCCAGTCTAATATTTAAGCACCTGCACCTGGAATTTGGAGTCTATTGTGATTCTTTTCTTATTCACATGATGACTGCTCCTCAGACTTGATGCATGACACCCATGACGATTTTCAGTTGGCCGCAAGCAGAAGCATGGCTTTCAAAATCTCTATTTGCAGTTGTAAGATGGTATCTATAATGCATTTAGTTTGCAAAAGTATCGTATAATGCGGAATATAGGTCGAGGGGGAATATAGGTCGACCCCCTTACCTTGACTAGCAAAAAAAGAAAGAAAAACGCGCAATAGTTCACAGATTCAGTCCTCCAAGCTGTCTGAGCTCTCCTCCGACGACGACTGCTTATCGCTAGCCGCCTCCCATAGCATGTCGTCCTCAGTGCCGTCGAGAGCATTGCTAATGCAGCACTTCTTAAATGCGCGCACCACCATCTCTTCAGGCAGAGACCTCCATGCCTCGGAGACCCAACCAGAAACTGTCGCGAGAGGTGGCCTGCGCAGCCGGCCTGTCGGCGTCCGCAGGTCGTTGCCAGCCATCCATTCGGTGTACAGCGCACGCACCCGGTCCTTGAAAGGTTTATTAAGGACAATGTCTAGCGGTTGGAGTGTTGACGTCATCCCTCCCGGAATGACGACAAGATCCGTCTTTCCATCGCGAAGGCTCTTCTTCACCGATGCGGTCAATTGCCCGCGAATGCATTTAACACGAGCATGTTCCGGTGCTGCAGGAGTGCTCCGGGCTGCCGGTTCCACACCGTCCGGATCCACTCGCGCATTAGGACCTCGTCTATATACCCCTTCTCGTTGACACGGACGACGACATCCCGTGGGAAGGGCTCCTTCGGCATCGTCTTCTGCTTGAAGATGATGAAGGGTGGCAACTCTCTGCCATCGGACGTGCAGGAAAGCATAACGGTGAAGCGCGAATGCTCGCTTCTGGTCAACAAAAGCTTCACCTCTTTTGCCCTGCATTCGCAAACAGTCGTGGACGACGGCATGTCGAACCACACCAACGTTTCGTCAGCGTTGCCAATCTGGTCTAGCATGTAGCCATGCTGCCGCCGGAGGCTGTTCACGTAGAGTTGAAACTCTATCAATTTGTCCTCGTACGCCTCCGGCAGCTTCTGGCATACCGACGTGCGCCGTCGAAGGGCAAATCGCTTGCGTCGCATGAAGCGACGAACCCAATAAACGAATCTCTTGAAGTCTTTCTTTGATAGACTGGCTTCACGGGCGAGCTCGACGGCTTTTGATCGAATGAGCTCCGCATTCACCGGCAGGGATCTGGCACGGTACTCGCGGACGAAATCCGCCACTTTGTCTTCGAGTTCCAGGGGCACAGCTCGGCGACCGCGAAACGTCTTCCTCACGTTACACACTGACAGTTTGGATTTTTGGTTGCGCCAGTACCTAACGCTTTTCTCAGACACACCAAACTGTCGCTGTGTCGCCATGTTGCCATTCGCCTCCGTGAATTCAATAACTTTTCTTTTAAACGCGGCGGTTAACTGGTGCCGCGTCCCCGTATTCATGGCTAGTCGCAGAGTAACGTCGACACTCGCTACGAACCACCCATGCTACAAACACTAAATCAACAAGAAAAAAAGAAATAGCTCCGGCCCAAAGAGGCCATGTTGATGCTGATGCCAACGTTACTAGGTTCTTCTTCAGTTGGCAAACTCTGCTGGGATGAGGCGGTGAAACGTGGGCCCTTTCGTTTACCGCTCCCTAGGTGGCGCTTCCGATCCCGTTTGACAGGTCGCTGCGACGTAATGGATCATATGCACAGTGTTAAACGGAGTTCTTGCGGTTAATTTGGCGTTGCGGGAGTTATTTTCTGTGATAGTGCACTAAGGTTATTATGAGTGGGCAATTAAAGCACAAGTTGTGCGGCTAATGCGGTGCCACATGGCGGAGATGCGACTGCTATGCCTGAATCTTGCTGGCTTTGTGTTAATTTAGCCGTATTGCGTTTTTGTTATTTAAAATTGAACTGTATATATTAAATAACCGTTGCAGTGGGCTTAAGGGTAAATACTGGAGGACTATGCACTTGGATTCAGGTGCATGTTAGAGAAACCACAGGTTGCCAAATTTTTCAAAGCTCTTCACGGTGTGCCTCGTAATCGTATAACCTTAGTTATTGTTATATGATGAGGCACACACCACATTCACCGGATGCTGCTGGAGATATTAAAAGTGTAAAACCTAGAATAATTTGTTCGTTACAGATAACTCAAATTTACGATCCGAACTATTTCTGTTTTTTTTCAAGGAAAGATAGCACACGAATTCAATAAATGCATGTCCCTTATAAGGCTATAAAATGCAAAATACAATGAGTTCAGCAAAGTCTTATTGAACGAAAACAATTTATTGAATGCTGCAACAAACTGGAAGTCACTTTTGTTCACGCAGTATCAAAACTACTTCACTGTGAACATTGTGCACGTAGTCAAGATATCGTCCTCCTGGAAGTGGAGGTCGCACACAGCACAAGATCTTGATAGTTCGTTATCCAATCTCGGTATTGCTCGTTGCCACTGTTGAAGACCCACCTCATCAACACGTGGCTTGAAAAAGTGCCTTTTTTCGGTCGCATATTACGTTGAGTCGAAGCCGCTTCGGCAGCCAGTGACAAAGCAGCGAGGCATGTTTTATAACATCAAAAAACAGTCGCACGTTGCATGAGAGCTATGCAGCTAACAACCAGCACGATAATACAACAGAGCTGACAGCAAGTTAGACACATTGTCAATTGTCACCATGATATCGCAGTAAGCAGCAGTGGGAGTACGAACTGTGAGAGTGTCGTCGAGCTCGCTGAGACACACAATGATAGCGATTGCCACGGAACACACTTGCACTATACTTGCAGGCTACGAAGAAACACTTACTGTTTCGCTTCGCCGGCGTGGTCGGTGACGTGCGCCTAACCGCCATGATCCTCGTCAGACCAGTCAAAAAACGAAGAGTGCGCCCCCTCGTGGTGGTACATAGAAGGGTGACACCTGCGGCGGCGCAGTTTGCTGAGAGAAGAATCTAGTAACGTTGGCTGATGACCAAAAAGCATGTGGCACTTCTTGTTGCCAGACGATCTTTTGGTTTATGCCAAGGGCCGGTATATAGGTCGAGGGGTGACTTTTCATTGACATTTTTTGGAAAAAATCTCGACCTATATTCCGCACTATACGGTAAGGCCTTCAACCTATGTGTTTGTTGTGTAGAGCTGTTGCATTGGTATGGGCTCATTATCAAGGGTGCTTCCAGGTCATGCCACCGATAGTATCATCGTGTTGCCTGTGTTTTTCTTGTGCTTGTAAGTCGTTCTCATATTGTGCCATGCCACGAGCAGAAACCAGAAGACTTCTGAGGAGGTGCACGTGCACTCCACTTTTTTCTGGCGGGAAAATGTTACTGCCACCATCTTAAAGCGACACTAAAAAGCAAAATGCTTTTTCACATATTAGTAAAGTACAATTTCACAATCCTGAAAACACCTCTCTTACCGCAATATGACACTTGGTAAGTGAGAAAACACGTGAAAGGAAACTGCGGGTGGAGACACCACCTTGAGATTTCCGCACCACACGCGGCGCCGTCATCAATTTTCGAAGGCATCTACTGGGTCGTAGGTAGCTTCTAATCAATGAAATTGAAGTACATTGTAATTTATGTGTGCTGTAGACTTAGCATACGAAATAACAGAAAATTTCATCTAGCCAATGTCGTGAAAATACGGGAAATACATTGTGGAATTTGTTGTGTCACGCACGGAGATTACAGCATGAAATTTAAAATGTGGACACTTTAACCTTGATTTTCTCCGCTAATAATGAACCTGTGAAAGTGAAACTTATGACATTAGAGTTTTCAGAGTGCAGTTTATAAATCTAAAGCAACTTATTGATTCTCTTTGATGCTATTGTGATGCCATTCTCAGAAATCACCCCCTTTTCCCTTCGCCACTTTGCTGGCAATTTCGCCTTACTGACGGGGGGGGGGGGGGGGTGGCATTCACTTGCTTGGTATTTTACGGTATATACCTCTGTGAATATATTGCAGCCATGAATTTTATGCAATGGCACTGGCAGCTTCAAGCAGTTCTGATGCGCGACTTGCTGTGTGTCAGGTCTGATACATATAATTTATGTTTTGCATGCCGGCACAATTACTTACACAGTGAGGTGTGCTATAGAGTAGATATAATGAATGCAAGGCTGACTACCATCAGCCATAGTGTCCTTTTTTTTCTTTGCCCATTCTTCTGTCAAATGTTGTTAATATTTTGTTAATACCACCATTATATATAGTATGTTATACATATATGTTTATTACGCTAATATTAGAGATAGGAATTTTAAAAAAGGTAGAATTTCTGATCAATATTTTGGTCAAGCAAATAAGCGTTTGTAGAAAACTCGTGCTCCCGCTGTAGACCATCGTTGTTATCTAGGAATATTGACATTTATTATCCTAAAGAGGATGGTACCTAGAAAATCATGTAGGTGTGGTTAATTTTGTTGCAAAGCATTGCAAAGCCATTCGTGCACTGCCATTTAAAGTTTTTCGTGTAGCCAAGATAGGCCTGAGATAAGTAGTCTCAATTGGAATGAGCCAAATACTACTAATGTCATGTATCATCATAATTGTCAACCTGTTCCATGTTCACTGCAGGATAGATGAAGCACCGTGTATGTGTCCTCTTCTCGTCAGAAGTTGACTCACTCGGACTCGCTCAGAGTCAGATCGAGTCGTGAGTCTGAGTCTGAATGAGCAACATTTTGGATGAGTCCAAAGCACGTGATATATTTCTTGAGTGAGTCCCACATTTTTTTTTGCCGACTTAAGGTCCTATCTACTCATCTTCAGCATGCTTTACTTGGATTCACATTTATACTCGTATCTAGCCACACCTATTCCAAAGCAGTATCATTGATATCTACCATTCAATATTTTCTTGATCAGAGGCTTAAATAATGTGGGGGGTGTGGGGATTGCCTTGATTTTTTTCAGGCAACTTTTCCACAGAAGTTCTTGATAAATAGATTTTATGTTGTCATTTTTTTCAAAAAACTTGTTCTTACTGGTTTGCAAGCACATGTAACTTGCAATCGAAGCTACTATATCAAAAGGCTCTTAGAAGAGCACCAATTACATGAGATACTGGGGTTAAAAAGCATAGGCATTATGATTCATAAAGCTAATTCTAGGTTAACTTGGACTCACTCAGACTCAGATCGAGCCTTGAGTCTGAGTTTCAGGGAGTCTGGGTAAGAAATATTTTCATGAAATGCAAATTAGTTCTGTGGAGACCCTTGAGGTGGTGGAATAGTTAAGAAAGGGAAATTAGACAACCATTTGTTTGTGGCTTAAAGTCACAAAGAAATCTGTACAGATTTCTCAGAAAAGCTTCTTAGTTGCTGAAAACTTTTCCTGGTCCGGGGATCAAACCGGAGACCAACACCTTTATGGAGCTGTTGCTCTACCAATTGAGCTAACCAGGAAGCTAGCAACTTGCAGTGTGAGGGTGAATTCATCGACAACTCAAAGCATATAGACACAAGTAATGTAAATGAGTTCTGCGGAGACCTCCTAGGTGATGGAAGGGCTAAGTAAGGGAAATTAGACAAGCACCTGTTTGCGGCATAAAGCCACAAGGAAATACCTAAGGATTTCTTGGAAAGAAAATCTTAGTTGCCGAAAACAGGTGGTATACTGGTTTTCTTATCTTAATATTTTCTTGAGTTTGAGTTCAAGTGAGTCAAGTCAGAGAAAAATATTGTTATTTTGAGTCTGAGTGAGTTGGGCTATGAAGAATAATGGTTAGTCTGAGACCGGGTAAGCCCTAAGCACAAAATATATTTAATGAGTGAGTCTCAAAGAGCTCTACAATTTTGCTGACCTCTGCTTCTCATCCCGTTTTTGGTGCAGTTTTATTCTTCATTTACTAAGTAGTACCAACCAGCCCTATTAAGCACTCTGCCACTGCAGGATTATGATCGCAAATTTACCCCGTCTTGCACGAGCTCATTCTATTCTAATTTTGAAAATTTAATTTTATTCTTCCATCTAAGCCTATGCCATCCCCTATGCTTCTGCTCTTTTGGGGTCCATTGCGACACCCTGACTGACCATCAGTTATCTGTCCACACTACATGGCCTGCCAAGGTCCCCTTTTAATGCAGTAGCATTAAAGAGCTCATTTTGCAGGAATTCCAGCATCAGTGTTGGTGTCAGCATCGACATCATTGGTTGTGAGCAAAAAATTATCTTGTCTGTGACTGAGAAATTAAAAAGGATGCGAATAAAACAAGTAATAAAAAATTCGGTCTCATCACTAGGGCAAAGCAATGAATGCGACAGCAAGAAATTATAATATGTATCACACAAAAACAAGTGGCTCGATAGTTTAAGCACGGCGCTACAGCCCAAAGAAGGACGCTTCAAAACACATAGGTATACATTGGACATGTGTGAAATGACAACCATCATAGTTTTTATGTATTTTCATTTCACGAATTCACTGAAAATGTCCGCAATGCAGAAGCTGACACTGTTTAATTTTTATTCCTTTAGTTCTTTTAAACAGCAATACGTGGAGTGACCCTGTAGGGCTACCGACATTATTGGAATTTGCCCTAGGACGGAAGAAGAGGAATCATGTGGTGCGGCAGCAAGGCTGGGGCGAGAGGCGCAGAAAATAAAAAAAGTCAGTGTGTTTTTCGCTCTGGCGATACAAGGACATGTCGAGTGGCTTTTCGCATGTGTGCTTCATAATTGGTGACTGTGGACGTTTGCACCAACTATCAACTTGTGCCAGGTCACATAAAAAGACGTTGAGCCATGTCCGCTAGCCTCAACCAACTCGGCAGACGCCGAGACCGATTCAACTGCGACGGTTATTTCAAACACTATCCGACTGCCACAGTTCTGGGAACGGAATCCCTTGGTGTGGTTCATCCAAGCAGAGGCCCTTTTTTAACTCTCGCGGATCATGTCCCAGACTCGCAAGTACTTTTTTGTGGTAGACCTGCTTCCAGCGGCCGTCATCGACGAGGTTTCCGTTCTTCGGCATTGAGCCCCGCCACGGTGGTCTAGTGGCTAAGGTACTCGGCGGCTGACCCGCAGGTCGCAGGATTGAATCCCGGCTGCGGCGGCTGCATTTCTGATAGAGGCGGAAATGTTGTAGGCCCGTGTGCTCATATTTGGGTGCATGTTAAAGAACCCCAGGTGGTCGAAATTTCCGGAGCCCTCCACTACGGCGTCTCATAATCATATGGTGGTTTTGGAACGTTAAACTTCACATATCTATCTATCTATCTATCTATCCACCTTCTGCATTCGTTCACGCACGCTCTACCGAAGTCTCCTTACAACTTGATCAAAGCCGCTTCACTAGACCGCATGGCTAGCTCGGAACGCACACAATTGCTACAGCTAATCTCATTTGAACAACTCGGCAGTCAGTGGCAAAGCCAGCTCCTCTATCGATTCATTAATCTTCTCAGACCACGCTGCATTTCCACCACAGATAGCACATTCATCCATAAGCTATTCCTTCAGCGCTTGCCCACCCAAGTCCAGATGTTGCTGGTCAGTGCTTCAAGCCAGAATTTGTCGGAGCTTGCTACGTTGGCTGACAAGGCTATGGAAGTTGCCAATCCACTTCCCGTGGTTGCAGCTGGGCTTCGGACTTCAACATCGCACGTCGTCAACCCTTCACTGACGAAGGTGCCCGAGCTAGCATCAACATTGTTTCCTGCCGCTGAGTTCTGCGATAGACTATAGAAGCTTCTTGTTGCAACCACGCGCATGTCGCGGCCTCCTTCCTTGCCCCTAGTTGAAAACCATCCGGCCAACCGGTAGCAGCCGGACGGAGTGTTCACAGGCCCACCCCATGTCACCTCTTTTATGTCATCGACAAAGTCACTGGGCAATGCTTTTTAATCGACACCAGCGCACAGGTCAGCATTTTACCTACTACACGTATCTATAGCGCGGCTACTCCAGTGCTGTTTTCGCAAGCTGTGAATGGAACATGCATTCCAATTTTTCGACAATGATCACTTACACTCAACCTGGAACTACGAAGACCATTTTGCTGGCTGTTCATGGTCGCCCACGTTTTTTCTGCCATTATCGGTGCGGATTTCGTCATAGACCATGGCCTTATTATCGACGTCAAAGAACGATGTCTATTCGACGTGACAACTTACCTCTTCGTTAAAGGGATTGCTGCGCCGGAAACCACAGATTTAGCTCTCTCTTGTGCTAAGGTTTCCAATGAACTCTTCGCAGCTTTGCTACGATAATTTCCAGATATCACCGCATGGCGGAATCGGAAAAAAACCAGTGTGCCTCGAGGTATGTCATCACATCATAACCTCTGGACCCCTTGCTTTTTTCGACCACGTTAACTTGCTCCAGACAAACTCAAAGTTGCACGTGCAGAATTTAAACATATGTTGTAATTATGA